GTAGTTTTGCCTTTGATGTGATTGTGGAAAATGGTGAATGGATTTAAAAATTAGTTTGAACAGAGATCTCACATGTAAATTAATAGTGTCTGAGTCTGAGAGCTAACAGCTTTTAAAAAGAGCTATTTTGTTTCTCATATACCTGAAATATAAGCAAATGACTAACAAAATATTATATCATTTTCTTCTATCTATGAGTAATAACTTGCTTATTCAATCATTAGTTGTTTCTCATTTTTATTAGTTTCTCCAGTATCTGCCATAATAATATATGGTAAAGTCTAAAAAAAGTAGAAATTGTAAATTAAGAAGAACAGTTAAAAGTAAACGATAATTGATATTTCTATTATACAATTGATTTCAAGACATGAATTGTTGCTTATTCCAGAAACAATGAAAAAGAGGCTTCCATCTATCAAATTGAATTTATCTGAATCAATTCAGTTCAACCCTTTATCACTTACTTTCATTGGAATGTAACAGTAACATATTTGCCTCAATAAACAGAGAATACAGACTACCTTTTTCTCTGGAAAACATCTACAGAGCTACATTGGAGAGAAAGCTCCTGTCAGAATAGACATTAAATACTTGGAACAAATTAATCTAAGATTTCTGTTAATTTTAGGGAATAAAATTAATATTTTTAGTATATATTCCTGTGCCTGCAATTTGAAACTCCCAAGCCATTTAGGCTGTGCAAGTGTACATTTTTCCTCATGTAGCACACAAGACCACCTTGGAATCCTCTGAAAATTACATCACAACAGAAAAGCTCTTTGACTTTTAGTCAAGATGGCACTGTTGTCAGACAGACATCAACATTCTCTGACATCCCATGCAGTATTTATATAGTGATATCCTTTTAATTGTTACTTTAATTGCAATTGGGGGAATTAGAAACAAGTTGATTATTTTCTGTTCTAATTATCTGAGAAAAATCATTTATTGTTTGCTTGGATGGTGCCCAAGTAAGTTCCACCACCATCTTCTGCTATTATGGCAATAGTTTTACCACCTATTGAGAAAGTTGCCATAACTATTATTTGGAAGATGGATATTAAAGCCATTAAAGATTAAGGCTTTAAAGGTTGTGCTTCCGAAGGATGCAGGAAAGCAAATGAAGCACCTCTTCAAACTGTTAAAGGCTCACATGACTGTTTCAGAAGCTGCTCCTTGCTGTCTCCACATGTGTGGGCATGCAATACACTTTGCTTTGCATTTCTCCCAGTGTTCCAAAGCACCTCTTTGAAAGGATTTATGCAGCCCTGTTAGTGATACCAATGGAGCTGAAGATACAATATTTAAGTCAGAAGATTGTAGGAAGTTGGTAGACATACCCATAACTGATTTATTGAAGAATGGTAAGATACTTTAGGGCAAAATAATGTTTCTTAAATCTAAGTTTTGCTGACAGAATTTACATGTGATTAGAATACAAGAACAAGTAGTGAAAGGCCAACCAATTCTTTTCATGGAAACGGTAATTGTCTTTTCCAGGAGATTATCAGCTAAATATTGAAAGGGCTTCCACATTTCAGCTTCTCCTTTTGGTAAGCTTTTTGTTTGTTTGTGGTCAGTGACCACATAACAAATATCACCCTAGAATCTGAACCTTAAAATAATAACATTAAAACCCTACACAATAACATCCATGTTATTCTATAGACCAAAACAATACAATCCTGTGTCTGAGCACAATGGCAAGAAAGCAGAATACTGCAACTCTCCTAGAAATCACCACTGACTTATCAGTTAAAAGGATAAAGTCATCTTCTTCTGTAATCAGTTAATAGATGCATACTTAAGTCCTACACAGAATTGAATTAAAGGAGCAGTGAAGAAGGACATGAACTGGTTCAACTTCCCCTAGTGGACAGAGAAAGAGATGTTTCTGTAGGGATATACCACGAAAATACCCTTTAAAACAGTGAAGGCTATACATCAAACCTGTCTAAAATGAACGGGCTTCTGGATGTTGGCAAAGTAAGAAGCTCTAAAAAATGTGTTCTACATAAACCTAAACTGTACAGTTTTGGTTTCTATTGTGACATTACTCTCTCAAAATGAATCAAGGTCAGATATTAAATAGAAAGGCCCACAGGATTTCAAATCCAAATTTACCATAAAGATGTAAAATTAACCTGAAGGGTCATGGAAGCCAGAGGGCTCTTGAAATAAGTAACTCTAAGCCAGTGTTTTACCAGTAAAACTGCATGTGAGCCTCTACTGAACTCAGTTGTGATTTCACCCATAATAAGGAGCTGGATAAAGAGTGAGGTACATGTAGCTGAGCTCTTAAACTCACTCACTAAAGCAACTCACTCAGCTTCCAGAGAACCCACACTTGATATTTGCAGGCTATGTGCCATAGATCAAATATGACTTTTGTACTACGAAGTTTAATTGTTGTCAGGCATGTTTATTGCCATTGCATGTAGCAAAATATAAAGTTGTGTTTGCAAAAGTCTGAACCCACAAAGAGATGGTCTGTATTTGTTAGTTTCAGAATGTTGTGGCTTGAAGAGACTCCAAGATATTTGAAGGCTTTGATTAACACTAATGCCATTAATTTTCCAAGAGTGGCAGCACAGAAAAGGACTTCTAGCGAATACAACAACATTGGTTTTATTGTAACTGATGAACAGGTCATTCTCTCTGCAAATAAACACAAAGTTCTCTGAGGCATCTTCACTACATATATATAGAGAATGGCCACATGACCTATATGCAACAGAATTGAAATGGTGCTACTAGTCAGTACATGAGGATAAAACTCCTGATACGGCTTGCACAAGTGAGTTTATATAGAAATTACAAAGAATAGACTTTGGCCACGTATTGTGCGGTTCTCAAGATTTGCTGTCAGGAATAACATTTTCCAAAGGTATGATCTACACAAGTCTTGCATTATATTTATCCTGCAGAACACAAAGAAAGTCCAACAATGTAGACAAATGTTGAATAAAATAAAAAATATAGTCCAAGAGAATAATAATCTTCAGTATTTCATCAGATTTCCAGCCATTTTTATTTTGAAATTAGAAGATGACTCTCAGAGATCATTTTATACTCATGAAAATACCTCCTTAAGTTCCTGCTTAGGTTGCTTTAGGGAAAAATTAATACATTACCATATGCTGTTATACTGTTTACTTATGAGCAGACTGCTAGCTTTTTTTTAATCTCTAGGTCCTAATTAAGGATCTGCATTTTTTGCTTCTGTGCTTTGTCTTTTTTCCTCCTCCCTCTGCTCTTATTTCCTTTTTAAAAAATGTTCAGCTTAGTTTAAGATCTACATATTTTAACAGATTAATCTGTAGAATTTGGCCCTTAGATTCCAATTTGTTCTTCTAATTGCTCTGCACCCAGCTCATGCTGGATTTATACAGGGCTAACAAGATTCTGACAATATTAGGTTTTGAATTAATGTTCTAACTTTAACTAAAAACAGATAGAATCCAGCAGCTATAATTTGTTTGGATAGAAAAATATTTTAACATGGTTGCTTGGAAACTTTCAGGCAGGTTTTGACTTATATTGGCTTACTTTAGATTTAAAAGGTTTATTTAATCCCTTAATCACATTATTATTGTGGTATGCCCTCTCCTTGATTAAATTTATATCATAGTACATATCAAGAATGCCATTTAATCTGACTTTAGAACCTCTTCCCTGCAGGCATAATATTTTGCTATAAATAGATATTATGTTTTATATCAATGCCAAACATAATTTCTAATCTTGTTTCATTAATATGTAAGCTTTGCATCCTGTCTGGTTGTTCCATAAATCGAAGTAAATCAGACTTGATGCCACTGGGTCATAACAACTATAAGGGTTAATGTTTAGGTTAATTCATTTATATTGGCAGAAAGATTCTTGGAAGCTCTCTTAAGTGGTACCTGTGAACATATCCCCTATGCTGATGCAAATGAAAGAAAATCTAAACGAACAGTTCAGAATTATTTGGTACTGGCTAGGAATTAAGATAAATTTAACTTCAAGACTAAATTCAACTTGAGATGAATTACTTGATCCTACTGAAATATTGGCAAATATTGAGATTTATCTATTGTACTTAAGGCTGTAAGATAAATATTTAGAAAATATTATTGAAGTTATAATATCTTTTTACCCATGAAAATATTACATTATGGGATAATCTCAACTAAAAAATAGCAGATTAATCTGTTTTTCAAGGTATGCTGGACCTCTCATGATATCATTATTTCGGATCAGCTCAATTTTGATAATTTTCATCTGAATTCTTGGCAGTATATTTGATTCTAGAACTTGCTATTTAGACTATTTAGTCCTGATGCCATTGCTTCTTACTGAAGTTGCATAAGTGATTAGAAGCTTTGGAGAAATCAGTTAAGGCTCTTTTAAGAAATTAAAGGAAGTTGATGAAGGTGATACAAGTAACTTATTCAGTCTTTGGAATAATGTCCTTAAATGTCCTGACCTGATATAACAGTGGAAGTTTGCTTTAAAAGCTAAAGGTCACTGTTAAATATCCTTATGTAACTTTTTTTAAAAAAGCCACATGTTTTATGAGTCATACTTACAGAAATGGAAAAAAGCCATTGCTCTTTACCAGAAAACTTGCTTTGAATGTAGAAGAACCTAGGTTCAATCCATGATATTTATTTAATAGATGTCAGATAATACAGCAGAACATATTCTATGTCCAAGCCTGACCGAAATATAATGCACTCAAATAGGAAAAATTACCTGTGCTAAAACTTTAATGCATTTGGGGGAAATTACACGCTGACCTGAGGTTTAAAAAATGAATACAGTAATTGATAAAAACAAAAGCATTTTTTTCCTAAAGTGGTTTTTGTCCTGAGGGTAGTAACTGTAGCATTTCATGCAATTACTTCCAGTATTTTCAAGTCCCCAGTGGTAATAATTGGTCTACCTGTTGACATACTGTTTCTCCTTTTCCACTTTAAATGCAGGCAGCTGAATTGCATGCACATAGGTATAATTACCATCGCTGATAGTGTTAGAGATGAGCTTTCCCATCAGGGTTTTGTCAATCATCACTTGCTCCAGCTGCGGTCCAGAAAGGCTTAGGGATGCCAGTATACCTGAAGGAAAGAGGAGCTGAATCCAAAGAGATGGGGAAAAATAAAAGTTATAACTTATTAACAGAGATTGTAAATTCCATACTAAATTTATATCTATATTTTAGAGGTCATATAATAATTCAGCCAATGAAATGTATCAGATGCAGTAACCAAATTAATAACCAAAGAGAGACAGAGAGAGGAAATGAGGAACAAGAAAAGCAAAAACAAGAGTTTTTATTACATGTGATATAACAATGTGTCAAAATGCTTTACTGCATGAAGTATTTCTCATAACTTGCATAGACAATAATTAATAGGGATGTTGCCATTTAAGTCTGAAATCTTTCCCCAGGTAGCTGCCTAGAGAAAATGTGGTTGAGTAATTAAAAGGCACCACAGACTCAAGCTAGTATGACAGAACTATTTAATAACCTGTATCTATATGTTCCATACAGAAGGTTAAAGTAGTGATGCTAATAAGAATACACACTGCACAGGTAAATTATATGTCTTTTAAAAAACTGAAAATAAGTTTGGGAGGTAAAACAAATACTGAAGTAATTGGTACAAAGTAAGAAATACATAAAAAATAATATAGGTAGTTCTCATTTAACAATGCTAATTGAGACCGGAAACTCTGTTGTTAAGTGATGAGGTTGTTAAGTCAAAAAACCATGTGAACGCATTGCTTAGCATGGCAGTTCCAGCAGTCCCGGTTGCTGTCGTTAAATGAGGACTGCGTGGGTCATTAAACAAGGACTTCACGTGACCGTGACTTCTGCCTGCCTGCCAGCTTCCCCATTGACTTTGCTTGCTGGCTGGGAAGGTTGCAAATCACAATCACATAACTGCAGGGCATTGCACCGGCCATAAGTACAAAGCCTTGTTGTAACTACCATTCATTCAGTGCTGTTGTTAAGTTCAAACAGTTGCTGAATGAGTGGTTGTTAAACAAGTATCACCTGTACTTGCATACTTCCTATACAATATACAGTATATCCAATGCTTCTATCTGCCAACATTTTATAACTACCATTTATAAACAGCAGATCATTTTTTTTTAATGTGCAAATCTTTTGTAGATTTGTTTTTGTGCTATAACATCTAAGCAGTGGTGAAAGAAGTGAAAGTTTGCCCCACCTCACAGACTTATCTAGGTATAAGCATCCTTAACAAGCAATGGATTTAAAATTAACCATAAGTACTTTATTTAAATAGCTTATAGAGAAAATACAGCATAATTTAAAACAGCCTTGCCCAGATTTGGGTAAAGGGAGATTTTTACAAGCATTGAATCAAATGTATTTTTACATATATTATATCAAACCATGATTTAACTATGATCATTATCAACTGTTAAGATGTACTCCTTCAAGTTTATTACAGCTCTTAGGCCAGACACAGTCAAAACATCTAACAATAGCAGTAATACATCCCTCCACATATACATATCTATATAACACAAAAACAGTAAATATAATAGGGTCTAAAATAGTTAAGAATAAAAATACTAAAATAGATGAAAATAAAACACTATTGTAAAAAATTCCAAACCTAGATAATGGTGCAGCATATTATACAGATGATAGCACAAAACTGGGCAACTTGGCTGGATATTTTTGAGTCCTTGTCCGAAAGAAGTAACATTACATAAAATCACATTTAAGATATATGTAGTACAGGGATGGGTAAATTGCACTTCCACTGCATGAAACCTGAGGTTCTCTTTCTATGGCCCTCAGAATCCCTTCTGACCATGACTGTTGGAAACTAATAGTAGTTTCTCACCAAATGGAAACCCTACGGAATAACATAGCCCCTGAGATTCGGATGACCCAACTTTGCTGGCCTTTCAAAAAGATGAAGCTCTTCCTTCGAGCGTTGGACTGGGTATTGGGTGAAACCATTTTGATATGACTGGTTGGTTGGATTTTGCTCCGTACACAAAATATTGATTGTAATTGTTTTAATAATTGGGATTATTTACTGATAGCCATCCTGAATCACATGTCAACAGAGTTGCCATATAAATCTACATAATGCATAAATAAATAAATTTAGAGAAAAGCCCACACACCTAAAATAGGCATATCATAATTAAAAAACTCAAAAGCTCCCAAAACTGCCAGCCAAATCTAGGCTCACTATAAGTTTGATGAAACTCCATGTACTTTGCAGCCCCTGATTTTCCCCAAAATAATTAAATATGCTATCTGGCTACCAAAAAATTGCCTACCCCTGACTGGGCAATGCCCACCCATCAAAATACCTGTACTTTACAAGTAAAAAAAGTTCATACAAGGTATAAAGAACTGGTTCACTAGTTCAAAGAAAATGCTATTTAAATTTCTGAAAATATCTAGATAAAGCACATTTATTTATAAAATATAAACTGTGTCAGAACCACCTCCTTTTTTAGTGTAGTAACACCATCTTCAGGTATTCATCTAGACAGTTACTGAAGCTCCCCCAGTGATGGCAAATGTCCTTTAAGGTTTTGTCCTACTAAAAACATTAGACACAGTTAGACTCTTACACCTTTTATTGCAAGATCTCAAAACTTCAGTTTATCCTTATGTTGCAGTTGGATTAGATAAAATCTCAATTTATTTCCAAATAGATAATGTGATTTTATATCTTAACAGTGTTTTGTAAATATTTTTAATTGTCCTTCCCTCCCCAAAATAAATGAAAGTATCTGAAGAACAACAAAACTCTCTAGATGTTGTATAGACTAATATGTAGTCCATGTTTAAAAAATGAAGAAATATATGAAAAAAACCTGCCTATAGTATTCCAGGTTGAGGCTTCCTCAAGAAATAAATGCATAATTATTGAGAAAAAGAGGCTATTTTCTTCCTGCCAAGTCTCCCCAAACACTATCTATAATAAATAACTTTATTACAATGATATCAGATGCTATAAAGCAATCTATCATTTCTTAAAGAAATGACAAGAATCAGATAGGTGTTTAGAAGTCAGCAGCATCAATAATGAAGTTCAGAAACCTTCCAAGTGAAAATACTAATCATAAAAAGAGAATATTCTTTTCCATATGCTTAACTCAAAATTTTAAATACTAACTAAATTGTCCTATGAATCCCCTGTATTAGCAGCTGCCATATCATTGCAGTATCAGTAACAGTCTATCCAGTATTAGTCATAACTGCATGCATTTTCAAAAACAGCAGACAAACCACTTTTAAATTAATTTTCTGGTACTTCTTTTGGATAGCTAAGAATCAAAGTGGATGGGACAATGATATTATAATTCTATCCAGGTTGGGAGTGGCAGGAGGTTGATTTGCTGGCTTCTGAAAATGTGCATTAAGCTTTTCCAAATACGTCTCAATTTTTCTGGTACTGGAGCACAAAAAGGGAGAAAAAATGGAGAAAAAAAAACCTACCTAAAGATTGTTACATTTCAAGTCCCCCACTCATATCTTTGGTCCCTTTGGCTGCCCTACTTTCCAGCAGCCACTCATCCCACCCAGTTTACATCTCCAATCGCTGCTCAGCAACATCATCCCTCATTCTGGCTGAGAAGCCAACACCCCAAAATGGACCGTAAGGGAAAAACTCATCCATGCTCTTTGCAAGGAAAACTAAGTATTTAATGGAAAAGAAAAGCAAGAGCAAAGGGGGTTGCTGTCCCCAAACCACAAGCACAACAGGGGACATAAGGTAACCCAAGATGAGAAGAAAAGATGGTGAATGGAACACACAGACATACCTCTGACCTACAGGTCACACAGGAAGGTTTGGTAGCCTACACAGTTTCCTAGATTTACTTGCCACAATAGTATTTGGACAGTAGAACTTACTGACATTTGAGAGATTTGGTGCAAAACTGTATGTAAGCCTGTGCCCAAGCCTCCATGACTTATTTTGGTCTGCCACTGCTTGACTTGCTGCCACTTTTTTCATAATTTTGTGAGGTCAGTTTCCACCATAAACAGACTTTTTGGGAAATCTTAGAAAACTGGATTTTGTAGGATTGTACCCAAAACAAGGTTTGAGTAGGCAGTATAATGAAGCCTAATACCTCAGTATCTTCTCCAGCTGACAAGGAAATTGCTAAGTAATTTCACAGCAAAGCCACTAATTTGCACGTGATTCCTCACTCAGTTCAGTTCCTTTCCCATCTAAGGCCCTCAGCAAAGTGGGCACCCTAGAATCCCAACCACATACTTTAAATGGTTCCAAGGAGAAACCTACTGCTAATTTATCTCCATGGTGAGTTACTTCTATTTCTCTTTTCTTCAGGTCAGTTATCTGACCATAAGAGAACACAACCTCTTATGCCATAACAACAAATAAACATACAGGTAGTTCTCATTTAACATCCAGTCGTTCAGTGACTGTTTGCAATTATGACAGCACTGAATAAGGGGTACTTACAACAGTCCTCCTCATTGCTGCTGTCACAGCATTCCCTTGGTCAGATGATTGTGATTTGGGTGCTCAGCAACCACCTCCAATTATAATGTTGTAGCGTCCCGCGGTCACGTGATCACCATTTGTGACCTTCACTGCCAGCTTCTGACAAGCAAAGTCAGTGGGGAAGCTGGCAGGAGGTCACAAATGGCGATCATGTGACTGCAGGATACTGCGACCATGCGGGATTCGCCTAACAATGGCAACTGGGACTGCTGGAATTGCCATCGTGAGTTGGTGCAGTCACGTGGCATTGCACCTTATGACTGCATCATTTAGCAATGGAGTTCCCAGTTCCAATTGCCGTTGGTGAGAACTACCTGTAGAGGCTTCACTAAGTTTTGAAAGTCCACCAGATCACTTCTATCTATGTGATTCTGTAAGATTGGTGAAGCAGGGTTTCCCTTTGTCATACATTATGCTGATTTAATTCATAGTGAGACCTATATGTTTATTCATTATAGTTTCAGAATGCTTCCTAACAGTTTTTTGAAGATTGAAATGAGGCTCAATGTACCTTAATTTTTTGATCCATGTAAAAAACAAATAGACAGACAGACAAAAACAATAACCACCTGGCTTTGTTTCAGTTCTCTAGTAAGGAGGCCAGATTTAGTGATAACTCATTTCATAATTTCAGATAATCAAGTAACATTGCCTGGATATTATGAATTAATTTGCCAATCAGCCTTTGAACCTCATGTCTCATTACCTCTGACAATACAATCCTGCACATATTTATTGAGAAGTAAATTTCAATGAATTCAAAGTGCTTATTACTACGCATTTGGCACATTACTGCAGTCTAAATTGAGTTTTAGATTTTGCCCTAAAAAAACCTAGAAGTATGTAAGTTTTTAAAAGCACAATCCTGCATTTGTTTGTGTAGAGATATGTTTCAGTGGTCCCAGTGATCTTTACTCTCAAGTAAATATGCAGAGGATTGTAGTATAATGCATCACTATCAGATATTGAAACTTTGCCTTTGGAGTTTACAGCTAAGGGCATTCAGATTACCTGATAAGACAAAATATTATCCAAGTTGAGCTCAGTAACTTTACTGTTATAAAGTACACCTATAATTACAAGAAAATTTAATTCTTATACCAATACTATGACTGATTATTAGTCAGCATGTATTAATAATCTCCAAAATTCAATGTTTTATGTCATACAAAGATATGCCTGTTAAAAACATCAAGAATAAAAAGGTAGAAATAGCTTTTAACATATTTCAGGAAAAAGCTGTTGATTAGATTGCTGGATCACACACTCTGTGATGCCAACCTGTTCCCACTTTCCATGCTGCTAAGATGTGAGCAGATGTTTTCTTTATATATTATGTGGATATTTACATAGATACAGAGTACACATTCCAGGCAGTTTGGATCATAGAAAAAAAAACACTTCAAGTATAAAAATTAAATGATGCTAATTCTTTGATAATCCAGTTTGAACCTGGTGATGGGGTGATCCTACATGTGTATATTCAGAAATAAATCCTGCCAATTTCAAATGAACTTACTTCTGTGTTATGTAAGTGTACAGGGGACTGCAGCCTGGGTTTTCTAAATAGTTCATTTTAATTGAAAACAAACATTATGTATTTTTTGTGATTAATTCCCATTTGAATATAGACATTTTTGTCAAGACATTTAGCCAATATTATACTGGTTTTGTTCTTGAAGTGAATATATGCATCAAGAAATTATCTTAAACAAACACTGTATTTTTTTATAAGTTAACTTAAGATGAGTCTCTTAACAACTGTTCAGTGCTGTTGATTGAACATTGCAAAATCATGTCAAAACATTTACCTGACAGACATCCTTGCTCTTCCATTTACTCAGCACACAGTGACTGTTTTGCATCAATTCCTGGCGGAAAACAGAAAATAGACAGTGAATAGAGGACTGTAGACATTTCATGTGTAGTTCTTCTGTTTTTCAAAGAGGAAAGATTGCCTGACATCTAAAACAAAGATGCAACTGTTTTGGATATCCCACCACACAAAAGCCAATTTATCACCAGAACAGATGATCTTTTGGAAAATTAAAGGTGTTGAAAGAGATTTGAAAACCTGGATTAATTGTTATTATGCTTGAATCTTTCTGAAAGATACCTCTAGCTCCTTAAGTGTGTCTCGAAGCTTTTCTGGACGTTTGTTCTTAAGTACCCAAGGATAATTTCGAGCTGGCAAATAAAATACATATGTAAGATATTGCGTGTCATAATAAATAACTGCAAGTAGCACTTGATTTGAATCCATAGTTTATAAGTAATCTTCTTAACACAAAACATTTATAATACTGAAAAGAACACATTAAAAGGAATATATTTTCCCTGCATTATGAACATTATCAATCCCATTTCTTTATAATTCAAAGTGTCCACTTTCAATTTTTTTTATAATTCGAAGTATGGACATTTACCTTTAAAACCCTAAATGGCTTGGACTCAGAGATCTACAGAATGTCTGTCAATTATCAGCTTGCTAAACTCTGACAATGTGCTGTGAGTCTTTGCCACTGTCACCAAAGCATGACTGACAAGGAGGGCCTTTTCTGTAGCCAAGCCTGGATTATGGAACATGTTATCATGAAAGTTCTATTCGTCTCCTTTTCTGTCTGAGAGGTCCTTATTCTTCCAGATGTCTTACCTCACAAGTTAAGGAGTTTATTAGTTTGGCCCTTTGCTTTTAAGCTGCTTATAACTACAGAACCTGTCTTTTTTATTGTCTTTACTTCTATATGGGTCTCTTGCTATTCATTTATTCATGGGTTTGTTTTATGATTTTTGAGTTACTGCAACCACTCATGTACTATTTCTATAGTGGAAGACTGTAAATCTCATTCAATTTATAAATAACTGCTCAGGAAGGCCATTCAGATAAATACTCCTTATCATAGGAACAATCCACATGAACATATGCAGATTGTAGAATAAGAGATACTGCTAGTTGGGTTAGCTAAACAACTGGGAAAACAGTTTGATGGTAACTTTGGAGGAAGTGGTGAGGCATGGAAAAATTATTCCTTGAAGGACGCAATAGGGAGTGGTAGAAAAGAGCCCACCCACAATGAGAGCACACAGGAAAGAGCCACTCATCCATAATCCTGGGATGAAGTTGAGTGGGTCAAGGATTGCTGTAATATTGTGGGTGGTCAGTGGATGTGATGGGTGGGTGAATAGTTGAATTCCAGATGCTCCTTCCCTTGCTTAGATTATTACTAAGTAACTGTTCAGGTTGGTTAGTGTGTTACTCATCTTGGAACACTGTAGCTGGGGCTATGGAGCATTAGGGGATCATAAATGTATGGAAGCAAATTTCCAAAGAGACTGTCAGATTGTTGCTGGAGAACAAGGGCCTTCAAATTGGTGTTGTTCCCAGCTTTTTGCCCTTCTTTCCTGCATCTGGGTGACTTGAGTTGCTGGCTGCCTCAGCCTCCAGCTGCTGTTAGTTAACACCAGATCTGTATTCAAGTACAGATGGGTAAAGGACAGGGACACTGGTCTTTCTGACATATGCACTCTGGATGCTATAACAGCTGTGATTGTAAGATTGAGGAAAGGCATGATGTTTTTTTTATGAGACCTTAGTTGTAAGAGCTAAATTATAGTGTTATAGAGCTATGTGATTTCAATCTCCATGCCTTGGGTGTGGGTTCAGATTGGGCTTGGGATTTCATGATCTCCATGGCAACCATGGGCTTGTTCCAGGAAATATCTGGCCCAATACATATTAGCAGTCATATCTTAGACCCGGTAGGAGCAGTGGTGATATGATCTCTAGATGGAGGATTTGTCATTAGTCTTCCTGCACATATTCATATTGTCACCTCACTTGATGGCCTGTCACAGGTGCCTAATGGATCCTGAGGGCACTGAGGTATTTTCCCAATGATTGGGTAGGCAGTCTGACTGAGCAAATTGTTGCTCTCTCAAAATCAGAAGCAACCAGAGTATTGGATGAAATGCCCAAATGGCCTTACTTGATCACTGAGATTTGCGGGGGGAGGAGGGGCTCCTTGATTTTCTAAGGAGCTACAGATGAAAAGTTCAAGGTATCTAGAACAATATTGGCAGAAAACAAAAGTTGAATGTAATCAAACATGATACCTGTGTTCAAGAATATTCCGTGGCAATTACAGTAGTGATGCATGTTTATTTCTTGCCTCTTATTGTGTCTTCAGACTCATATCCAGCTGTCTTGTTCAGCATTACCCATACCCTTCTGGGTAAAGATGGAGAGATTTTTCTACAGGCTACTGTGACATTTTTGCAGGATTTTCATAGATAAAATCACTCACATTTGCTCAGAGGTAGATGCCACTTGAGCAAAGTCTTGCATGACTTGGGCAATATCTTACAAGATCAACTGCTTTGAGAAAGACTGAAGAATCTGTGCTTCTCTTGGTTCTTTTGGGCAAGCTATCTGGGATGTCTGCAGCTGGATTCAGGAAGTGATTGTTTTCTCTTTGAATCAGGCAGTGATACACCCTCCCCAGAAAAAATAATTTCTTCATCCATCCATGTTGGACTACCTCCTTCCAATCTCCAATCTCCCCTATCATATCATGGGAATATTATGGGCAAGGTGGTAGGGCTTCCACTATAAGGATTCTAGAGGAAACAAATGAGCTAGTTTCCTTCCAATCAGGATTCAGGCCCAGGCATTGGATGCAAATAGCAATGGTTGTCCTGGTTGATGATTTCTGTTGGGACATAGAGGGAGTATGCCTCTCCTGATCCTACTAGATGTCTCAATGGCATTCAATTTCATTAAACAGGCATTCATTTGGGCCACCTAAAAAGATTGGGAATTGGGAATATTATGGTGGTTCTACTCCTTCCTGAGCGAACAATTGTATCTAGTGTGCATGGAGCAAGAACAGTTGAGCCCTTGGTTACTCTGGTCTGGGATGACACAGGGTTCAGTCTTCTTTTCCATCTTGTTTAACTTCTATCTGAAGCTACTTGGGGAACTTATCTGTCAGTCTGAGGTGAGGTATCATCAATATGCTAAGGGCCATGAATGTTGTGGAGATCCTGATTAAATTTCCTTTCTAAGCAGTGGCCTGGTTAGTAATGGGGGAAGCAGTTTAGTAGCATTACAGCTTTAGTTTGATTGTTGCTTGGCTTCCAATAGGCTCCTAGGCCTAATTCAAGGTGTTAGTTTTAACCTATAAAGCCCAACATGTCTCAGCACCCATGTTTCTTCAAGGTACTCTCTCCCAATTAGAATCAGTCCACTGAGTGAGTTCATCTTGAGAAAGACTGCTGAGGATCCCCACCCTACGTGAAGTGAAAAAATCAGTATCAGTCATGGAGGTTGCAGTTTGAGAGGAAATGAGGCCAGAGCTTAATATTTTCTTTTGTAATAGTTCTTCTAACCCACACAACTTCATGAGGTTGAACAGCAAAACAGCCAAATAATCTATTTGCAACCTGGGGCCTTCCAGATGTTTTGGCCTATAAGTTTCCATTAGCCTGGCTATAATGAATGAGAACAATAAGAGTTATAGTCCAAAAGATGTGCAAAGAAACAGAATGTCTATCTTTGGATAAGCTGCTACTTCTTCTCTGAAAAGCTAGTCCCCTAATCTAGATAGCTAGTTCTATATCTGATTTTTAAAAAGCAAAGCTAAAGAAAAATATACATTTACATATTTGTCCATTTATTTGTAGTAACAAAAAAATAGAACATACTCTTACATTCTGCTAATTGTTGCTTCTCATATAAATAACCAACTTTCGTTTGTGGCTCTACAACAAGAAAAAACAATGTTGAATCATCTTCATTTCTATTGTCAACAAACTACTATTTTGTATTTTGGAAAAGTACAGGTTATTCACAGGTGAAAATTTATGCTGGTCTATGACCGTAATAAAGATTTGATTAGGTGAAAATTTAACATTGTTCGCTTCTTGGATAAACTAAATTGTAATAAAATGGAAGCAATCTCTACAGATGCAATCTTACTAAACAAGTTTTATTCTAATTAACTTTGCAACCAAATCCAACCCAGAAGTTAAATCAGTCTGTGCTGCCTGTGGAGACAGCATGGAATGCTCACACAAACTACTACTTTAATGTGGACCAAAACAGGAAGTCATTCTGGCTGAAAAGACCTTTTGGCCCATCATGAATCTTCTAGGATTAAAAACTTTAATCAGATAAAGAAAATTGATCATTCACTCTGAAATGCCCATTTCAAATATCAGGTAAGGAGGATCCAGGAGACCAACATCAGTGCATTCCTATGAATTTACAATGCCCTCTACTGGAACTTCAATAAATGAAAATGTAACAGGCTCTACCAATTTAATATATTGTACAGTATTAAATCTTTATTTTTATACAAGAAAATTTAAAACTTGTGAAGTACACACTTTTTTGTTCAACCAATGTTTAAAAGTAGGTTGAGCTAATGGCTAACTAGCTGCAGAGAAAAATAGTTTGGAATGATAATGACCAGTTTTGGTCCATGAGAAAAAAAAATCACAATTGGACAAGATCTTTATTAAAAACAAACAAAGAAGTAGAAAATTGTAGAAATATTTGAAATTCCCATATCTCATCAGCAAATAACATACTATAAAAAGCAGGACCCGAAAGAGAAGTGGAAACACAAGAAGGATAACGTATCAGTCTGTATGGACTACCTTAAGAAATTATCTTAAGATGTGCAGACTTAAATACTATATGATTTACTATTATACAAGTTTCAGATATCAGATGCTGAAACTTTAACTGTAATCTTATTATAACTCTTATTATAATGTCAAAATTTTACCTGGTTCCTTCTTATCATGGTACTGATAGATGCCAATATCTCGGTCTGGATAATTAAGGAAATATAACTTTAATTATAGCGTTTGAAACCAAACAAATTTCTTTGTTCATCATAAAAAAGTAAGGCATCCAGTGATACAAATACTATTCATGTGTGGATTTCTAAAATTGTTCAAATGGAGTATCTGCAAAAACCTTTTACCAAGTTGCCAGGCCCAAATTCATGAGTGGCAATTTCATATAGACATATGTAGATATACATACATATATACATGTAAATATTTGAAAAATACTTTGTTGCAATGACAACACAGAGTATAACTAAAAGTATCTACTGTAGCATATTAAATAGTGTGATAGAGGTTTGCTTGCTGTTGCATAGTTTAGGTATTATCCTCTCTGAAATAAGCAGCAAAGAATTCCTATGATCTATGCCACTTTCAGCCCAAAGTTTTACAGGTAAGTATTCTTTCTTGCAAGGAATTGAGCTGTTAGGAAATCAGATTAGAAATTACCATTTTTTGTTTAGATATTGTTAGTCAGATAACGAATGCTGGCACTCGGTAGAGAATGAACAACAAGCTTTTGTACACTGTATGATTCTGGAAACTAAGTGTAATGCATCACATTAAGTTTAACATTAACATGGTTTGGTAAGTTCCTTTAAAAAACTGGAAAAATTATAACATTTGTTTTACCTTCAACATATAAGATGCTCTTCAAAGACCAGAGGTGCATTTCAGAGAGAAAGACAGTCATCTTTAACTTAATTCTAGAGTGAAAAGGGATGGAGGCAATGGTAAGATGAAAAATAATGAAATCCCTTTATTATTGCACATCTGTAGGACCCAGGAATACTGTATTTTATCAATTTTAATGGATTGACATTTACTAGCTGTACTTATGTAAACTGAATGAATTAAATCAAATCAAATTAATTCAACTTATAATTCAATTTAAACTACACATATGCTTATTTCCCAAATTTTCTACCTTAGGGTTGCATTCAGTTGCATCCCTCCACCAGTAGAACTGAAGATTCAGATTCCCCACTTCTGTGCATCCCCAAATCTGCTCCAGAGTTGGAGACTCACCGCAGAGACTTGGGGTTATGTAAGGAATGCAAATAGGAGTATGTTGATGAAGATTCTCAGTCATCCACGTGGAATTGTCTGAGGTTGAGTCATGGCAGCTGGACTTCTTTTCTTTTGGTCTGATACATTTCGCTGCTTGTCCAAGCAGCTTGGAAGAAGCTG